TAAAGATTACGATTAGAATTAAGATTAACATCGAGATTGAGATTAAGATTAAAATAACTGCTCATTATTGTGCAGAAAAATATTCATATGATACGCCAAGGCATTTTTTGTTTTAACGCCATCAAATCTGCACCGTTAGTTCGATTTTCAAAACTGAGGTGTCAAATTAAAGTGCTTGTTTTGTCAATGCGACACAAGATTTTATTTTTTTCGAAAAGAGTTGCCACTTGTTAAAAAATTAAATTCAAATTAGAGCAATTATTTCAATATGGGTATCAATCTAAATGTTTTTGAAAAGGCTTTATTTTGTAGCTACATGTATGAGGGTTTGCCACCTGCTCAAAAGATAAGTTCAATTCAAACTAAGGCAATTAGGTAATTGATATGTATCACTATTTAAGTGTCAGACGAAAGAGCTCTTAGAAGGTTTTAGTTTGAAATAATCTTGAAGCGTGTTGCCAGATTTTTGGAAAGTCGAATTTATGTAATTAAATTATACACAAGTTATATGAAATATTAAAATATGGGTNCGGTCAGTTGGAAGAAGGTACGGTCCAGTTGAGGTCAGTAGCCTGACGGACGGCNAGGCGAGCGGCCAGTTGGAAGAAGGTACGGTCCAGTTGAGGTCAGTAGCCTGACGGACGGCCTAAGCGTACATATGTCTTGGGAGTAAGATTGATATTTTTTTTTTAATAAAAAGCTATAAACGAATAGAGTTTATGAATCGTCAATGTTTTATTCATCGAAAAGTTTAGAGGAGGGTTAGTGAGGCAAATGGGGTTGAATTTTGATTTATTGTAGAATATAATTTTCCCACGCTACAATATGAGATGTAGGCACAAAAGAATCACATTCTGCAGTTTATTATTGCCGAAGGTAAGGAAAGGTATGCAGGGTATGTTTGCATTCAATGAAATCTGCGTTATATACTCGCAGCACAATTGCGCAATACATACGACTTATTTGTTACCTGCTGGGAAGTGAAGTCATCATCTTTTGTAAACGCACAAAGGGGTGGGTAAACAGGCCCTACACTACTTCATACAACTACATATTCCTTAAAATAATGACAAGAAATTGCGATACGCTTCCGCTCGTCATAGCGCAAAGCCTTTGTGTTGGGTAGACAAACACTTGAAGGAACTCAGCAAATGATGGCATCAAAAAGAAAGCAATAACACTGGGGTGAAGATAAGGAAGTATGTACCTAAACAGTAAATTCGGCAGATGTTCAAATTGTTATTCGTCTTTCTCAAATATGTAACAATAATAACTGTTGCGTCGAGTTACAATTCAGCGCCACAAAAGGCAAACTTTTCACACCCGTCTAGGGTATAATGACGGTTGCGATCGTCATGGTTGGTTGGATTGCATTGCCGCGGGTGCCCCTAAATGCCCGTTTTTGAAGTGAAACTTCTTTACGTTCGGTTGGGAGTAAATGCAAACATCGATACAACGAAAAAGCGACGAACTTGTTGGGCTCTAATTTCAACAGAAAAACGGACTTAAAGATTACGATTAGAATTAAGATTAACATCGAGATTGAGATTAAGATTAAAATAACTGCTCATTATTGTGCAGAAAAATATTCATATGATACGCCAAGGCATTTTTTGTTTTAACGCCATCAAATCTGCACCGTTAGTTCGATTTTCAAAACTGAGGTGTCAAATTAAAGTGCTTGTTTTGTCAATGCGACACAAGATTTTATTTTTTCGAAAAGAGTTGCCACTTGTTAAAAAATTAAATTCAAATTAGAGCAATTATTTCAATATGGGTATCAATCTAAATGTTTTTGAAAAGGCTTTATTTGTAGCTACATGTATGAGGGTTTGCCACCTGCTCAAAAGATAAGTTCAATTCAAACTAAGGCAATTAGGTAATTGATATGTATCACTATTTAAGTGTCAGACGAAAGAGCTCTTAGAAGGTTTTAGTTTGAAATAATCTTGAAGCGTGTTGCCAGATTTTTGGAAAGTCGAATTTATGTAATTAAATTATACACAAGTTATATGAAATATTAAAATATGGGTTTAAAATGAAAAAGTGGCAAGAAATCTTTGGTTTGAACATTTAGAAGGTTGCCACCGGTTTAAAAAAAATTCTTTATTTCTGAACTATATTTATATAAGTATTTGAAAAATCAAATATAACTTAATTCATCAATTACTTGAAATTTGTATCCCAATTTTAGATGTAAGAGATTTAAGTTGAAAAATACTTTTAAAAAGTGTTGCCACCTGTTTGAAAATCGAGTTTAGTAAACATAGACACTAGATATGCATATGACATATTTAAAAATATGAGTGTCAAACGCAGTGTTGTGAAAATTTTTGTTTGAAAAAACTTTTGATTAGGGCTGCCACCTATTCGAAAACTCATATCTATCATGAAGGCATTTCGCCTGATCTGCAACGTTCCTTCGAATTTCGAAAATGATATGTAAAATTAAAGAGCTTGGCCCGTACATGTTTGTCAGTACAGGGTGATTTGAAATTAAAGAAACCTTTTCACTCAGAAACGGTGGGACGGATTTAGGTAAAATTTGATACACGGATCGCATTTGGAATATTTTTTAGGTTTTAGATTTTTGAAGTTTAAAATTTTTAATTAAATTTTGTCTTCTTAACGCTCGGCGGGTTCACCATTAATATTGTAATACGGGTAATATAGGAAGAAGTTTCGCTACAGCCGCGTGTGGGATCCTCACACAACTTCTTTTTATTACTTTCTTAGGTAATTTTAACGACCAATAAAGTTACGAATGTTATCCCTGCAGGGAAAACGCGGACTAGTGAATTATATTGCTGGTTCCGTACTAGATCTTTATCACCAAAAACGAACCAGTCCGATAGTAACTATATAGATAGCCACCAGTTAAAAATCAGCGCAACGTGGAACTTTTAAAAAATTATTTTATTTCATTTTTTCCATAAGAAATCTATATATCGATGGCTGAGCAGAAGATCGACCTATCTCGGCAGCCTGTTCGAAAACGCCCTATCTCAGAAAATTTTTCAACAACGCCCTATTTTAGAATTTGATTGAAAAACGACCTATCTCAGAATTCAGTTCANATTTTAAAAAATTATTTTATTTCATTTTTTCCATAAGAAATCTATATATCGATGGCTGAGCAGAAGAGCGACCTATCTCGGCAGCCTGTTCGAAAACGCCCTATCTCAGAAAATTTTTCAACAACGCCCTATTTTAGAATTTGATTGAAAAACGACCTATCTCAGAATTCAGTTCAAAAACGCTTAATCCCAGTTGCCGATTCAAAAACGCCCTACCTCAGTACATTTTCAATGTATTTTTCGTTTGAGATAGGGCGTTTTTGAAACGAATTCTGAGATAGGGCGTTCTTCAACCAAACAAATTTATTTTCAAACTGAATACACACTTCTTTGAAAATAATTTAAAAACGCACACACGGACGAAGCAAAAACATTGAAAAATCATTATACTTTTTTCTTTTGTCTGTCGATTTTAGACTTGGTTGGGAACTATAGAGTTTAGGACTTAGGACTAGTTCGGAACTATCGGAAGAAGAGATGCAGCTGGGGCAATTGACACTTCCTAGGACATCGCCATGTTAAATTCGCCAGTTGTTTGCATGCAAAAGGGATTAATCCTGAACCAGTACTGGGTCTAAACAAACTAGTAGCGCATCAGTTCAGAACTGGAGATTTTCCCACAGGGATATAACAAGAGTATTATAAATGTGAATGTTTGTGAGCGAGTGTGTGAGTATGTTTGTTCCTTTTTCAAGCTAAAACGGCTGGACGTATTTGAGTAAAATTTGGCACATCGATACGTTGTAACCTGGANATTTTGAACCGAATTCTGAGATAGGGCGTTCTTCAACCAAACAAATTTATTTTCAAATTGAATACACACTTCTTTGAAAATAATTTAAAAACGCACACACGGACGAAGCAAAAACATTGAAAAATCATTATACTTTTTTCTATTGTCTGTCGATTTTAGACTTGGTTGGGAACTATAGAATTTAGGACTAGTTCAGAACTATCGGAAATGTTAAATTCGCCAGTTGTTTGCATGCAAAAGAGATTAATCGTGAACCAGTACTGGGTCTAAATAAACTAGTAGCGCATCAGTTCAGAACTGGAGATTTTCCCCACAGGGATATAACAAGAGTATTATAAATGTGAATGTTTGTGAGCGAGTGTGTGAGTATGATTGTTCCTTTTTCAAGCTAAAACTGCTGGACGTATTTGAGTAAAATTTGGCACATCGATACGTTGTAACCTGGATTATCATATAGGATATTTCTTGAAGAGAGTTGCCACTTTTTTAAATGTTAAAATCAATTAATGAATAGGTTAAATAAAATGTGACAACATTATAGATGTCAAATGAAAGGTTGCCACCTGTTAAAAGTTTAAAATCGGTTAACTAATAAGTTAAATAAGGTAACACAATCATGTGGGAGTAAAACGAAAGCAGTTGAAACGATTTATTTCGAATATATTTTTTAAGGCGATTGCCGCCTATTCAAAAAGTTTAGATCAATTTAATTAATAAGATTAATAAGTTAAACGAATATTTTAATATGGCCCCCAAACGAGAGAAGTTAAAGAAAGCGTTATTTAAAAAATTTTCTTTTAAGGCAGCTATCATCTCTTTAGAAATTCAAGATCAATTCAATCAACAAGTTAAATAAAATATTTTAATATGGATATCAAACGAGATAGGTTTCACGAAAGCTGTAAGTATTTCGAAAATATGTTTGACGAGGGTTGCCACCAGTTTACGAGTTTAATTGACAAATTGAATGAAATGTGTGTTGGTCTTTCTTATTAGCTGGATTGACATACAACGCAAAAAATTAAATTCTACTTTAAACTATAACAGCCAATTTCACGATGGCAATTTAAGTGAAAATGATTTTAATTTTTTGAATTTTACATGGAACGTGACAGAAAATTAATAATCATTTTCCATTTAAATTGCTGGTGACACCGGCTGTAAGTTAATCGAAATTGTACGAGATAAAGAAAGCTTTATTATAGGATTGCCACCAATTTAAAAAGTAAAAATGCAATTTTGTTAATAAGTATGAAGTATTACAATATGGCACACAAACGAATGAGGTTTAAGAAGCTTTATTTTGAACATATTTTTAAAGAGGGACCCGCATGTTAATAAGTAACTTAAATTTAATCAATAAGTAATATGAAACATAACAAAATGATGCCAAGCCAAACAAAATATGTTTAAGGGCTGTTTCCAGCTCTCAAGAAAAACGAAAAATTCATACAAAATGACGCACAAGAAATGGAAAATAATTTTCTTCCATCGAAATTTCTTAAATCAGTTTGCAGCTTTAAAGAAAAAATGCTCCTATATTTATTTCTTCAAGAAAACTTACAACAGAACAGAAATTAAAAATATTTCTTGTGGTTTTTCTGGAGAGCTGGATTCTAAGCTTTAAAATGGGTTTATTTCGAAAATATTTTTAAAAGTGGTTGGCGCTTGTTTGAAAGCTAATTAAATTTTATTTGTTAATTTAAGTAAATATTACAATATGGATGTCAAAAGAAACAGGTTGAAAAAAGCCGTATTACAAAAAAACCAAATTCAATTGAACATTTGCAAAATGGAATATCTTTCGTCTTTACAGATAAAATAAATGAAATACATATATATATATATAAGATATTATAAGAAACAAATTGAGTTTTTTTTTTTATTTAGACACATTTTTTAAAAGAAAGCACCCTATACAAATAATTTAAACAAGAAATGTTTAAGCAAAAAACACAAACTACTTAAATTATAATATACAAATTTAGGAGTACCGTTGATTTTTTCATGGAACAATGATTGGATCTAAACCAATTAGTATGGGACCACTTGTGAGACACTACCTTTCCGATAGAAAAAGAATTATCGAAATCGATTGACGTGGTTTAAAGTTATGCGGTAACATACATAAAAAAAAAAACAGATTCCGATGAATTGATAACCTTCTACTTTTTTTAGAAGTCGGTTACAAATAAATAAAAAAATCCGACGAATTGATAACCTTCTCCTTTTTGTGAAGTCGGTTAAAATTATAATTGAGTTGATATTCGACATATTGACCATGATTCAATAATGAAAGGTTTTGTAAGTAGCTTTCTTCTAAAATTTGATACTCCCAGCCACAGGGATGGTTTTTGGAAGCAGGGGAAAAAAGGGAAGAATTCAAGCACACTTCCTAAATGGTAGCTAAATTCCACAAAAAGGTGGGGATAATGGTGCATAGTGGCATTTTAAAACAAAAACGAATTTGATTTAGTTATTTAATTTAAACCAGCTTATTTACAACGCATATAACCCCTGATTGTTATTAAAAATTATAATTTATATGTACATATGTATATTCCAAAGTTGAGTACGCCAGACGGAGCATTTCTCGAGAATGGATGGTCCACTTTGAGCTATAGTTTTTTGTGTTTGTTTGCCTTGTAAATTCTTTGCGGTATCATTTACAGTTTCTTTCGCGGTTTTGGCTCGATTGCTTCGAGCATGGTAATTCGAATTCTTTGATGCACTTTTAGTGTTCTGGGGAGTTTATGCCGCCGTCAGAATATTAAACATTGGCTTACACACGCAATTACATCGCGCCATTGACTAAACCGAGCTGTCGTGTGTTACGATTGGCCCCACGGATGCGGTTTGCCAATATTATATTGCGTCAAAGCCTCATTCAAGGACACCAGGATTGTGTTGTGTAGGTCAATACCTTCGTTTACTCATTCACCAGAACCATTGCGCGCTTTACTTTTCAGCGACTTGACAGAATCAATAGGTATCCACGAATGTTAATAAATACAACTATTCGGCATTTAAAGGAATTACGTCTCTTTATCCTAACTTGAATTTCTGTAGGCCAACGAATCTCACACATTTGGTCTTGTTGTCGGCAGCGAATGCAGAACAAAAATTTCTTCAAAGGTAAAAATTTCACTAAAAGTTTAAAAATGTTCCTAAAACTTGCAAAAAGAAATTTTTTGTTTTTTAGGAGTAGGGTTGGAGTGTCATTGATAAAATTAGAGCCTTTCATCATTGAATCATGATATTGACCATGTTCGGAAACCTCGAGACAACAAGCACCTTTTTTTATATAAAATTTATTATTTTCGGTGATATAATTCATTTTCTCTTTTGTTACATTTGAAATCATAATGTCAAACCGAACTTAACGCGAAAGAAGCTTCAGGCAAAAGCTAGTAGATACATACATATAGTTACGGTGACCATCCGTCCTGTATTATACGGGACAGTCCTCTTTTTTGACCCATTGTCCTGGTAATTTATTTATTTTATACGGGACGCCAAATGTTCTGTATTTCTTTTAATGTCCTGTATTTGTCCCGTATTTGGTGTTTCGACGCCTTAACAGGTCATTAAAATGGCATGCCTATGAACGAGTTTTAAGTAATGTTGGTATATGATAGTAATTTTTTCCATAAACAGTTATTATTTTCTAATGTGAATGCCTCTGATTCGAATCAAGGGACACATACAGTGACCAAAATAGAAATTAGGACTCCACTTTTTTGTAAGTTTTGGCTATTTTTCCTTAGTCTATTAAATGTTTATTATTCATTTTATGAAAGTAAAGCTCTTTTCCTAATAAAAACCATATAACACCAAAGTTCCAACTTTGTGCAAAAAACTATAAAAATTTATTCTGCCATATTTCACCAAAATTTCAAATTTTTTAATTAGAATCTTCAGAAAATAATTTGGTTTGCAGTTTTGTAACTCATTAAAATTGAGTATAATATAGTGTGAGTGGAAAGTGCTGCTCATTTGCTTCTCTTTAAAAAAAATGGTCGAACATACTTACTTTGTATGAAAAAATTTAACGAATATTTTTAACAAATTTTACGGGATAAACATCTCGAGAAAATTATCCTAGAAATTTGTGATATTACTAAAAGGATACTGTTTCAGGGCTAATACATCTAAGATCATTGAAGACGGCTTTAAGATATGTAAGCTGTTGTGGAAAAAGTTTGAAAATTATATTTTGTCCCGTATTCGACTCTCATAATTATGGTCACCGTACATATAGTGTACTAATAGTGTTTGTTCATTCGGACTAAGATCAGAAAGATACGGCAAGTTGCGTCAGCATTCATCTAAGCGCAGATAGTTTCTTGTGGATTTGTTTTTTTCAAAAACACACACCGCATAATGTAGGACAGGTCAACGGACACTATTTCGCATACTGCGAAGCGAATAAAATCCGTTGACATTATTGCTCTTTCAAAAATTAAATTTGCGTAGCTTCGCGGCGGGCACACCGCGTCGCGTCAATTAAGTTACATGATCTCGGTTCAGGTAATAAATAATCAATAATTGTTTATACCCGCATTTGAATGTGCCATCTAATAAATAATGTCGGATTATTCGCGTAAAATGTAAATGGATAAGCCTTTCTAGAAGGCATGCAAGGAAGTAATTTTTTTCAGCCCTTCTTGGGTAGTCCTCTTAGAATGGCTTTACTTAAGAAGGCCTACCTAAATTATCTTCTGGGCTATTATTGCGATTTATTGCAATTACGAAATTTTTGATTTTTGCCGTACGTAGGGCTTCGCCTTTTTACATTTTTCGTTACATCTTCGGCATTTACAGTTAGATCTGAGAGTATGATAAATGGATGTTTTTGTCTCGAGGGGCATTTTTTTTTGTTCCCAAGTTCATTAACCTCAACTACCCTGTTCTAGTGCTTACCCATCAGACCTCAGTTCTTATCACCCTAACGTACCACATTAATGCTAGTAAACTAAAATTCTCCAAAAATTATTTAACTTTTGCTCAGGAAATATTTTGATCCTTCCAGTAGATTTATTTTAAAAATAATTTATTACCGAATGTAAAATCTTTGGCATTTTTGTGAATTTTGGTAGACAGATATAGACGTGAACAGTACAAAATGAAAGCTGAAATATTCGCCTTTTATCTCCGGCCTCAAGCTCAATAAAAATTGTTGAACATAATTTATAATGTAAAATTGTTGGCATTCTTTGAATTTCGGTAGACAGATGTAGACGTGGAATTGAATGTTTTGAACTGTACAAAATGAAAGCTGAAATATTCGATTTTTATCTCCAAAAGTAAAAAATTAGGTTCCTAAACATAAGGCTTTAAATATTTTGGTGTTGGTTGGTTTTTTTTCGACTGGGCGGTAAGGTAAGATGATTTTATTGGAACGAATTCCTGTCAACCCTTGTCAAATTTGATTTGGAGCCAAACCGGGTTCGGCGTTGTGCCATTTTTCGTCCGACTTGACAAGGGATGACGCAAATTCGCTCCTAAATAAATCCGCTTTAAATATGTTTTCAAAAACAAATTCATTTTTCAATCAAATTCATTTAAATTTTGTATTAGTTCTCTTTTAGAAGCTCGGTTTATCTGTCAAATGTTTCGAAAATTTGTGATAAATGTAGAATGTTAAAATTTTGTACCTTTTACAAATGCACTCCATTATACTTATTCGATATTTTATCATATCTGGGCACGTCTTTCAGGTTTTCGTTGTTAAGGCCAGTATGTAGCTCTCAAGAAAACGGTCTTTCTTCTCTCTTTCCTCAAGAAATAATGGAACAGACATACCTGTGGATATTTAAGCTTTCCTTTTATGCCGTCAAATTATTCCACATTACATTGATATTCTAATACTAAAGCTCTAAAAATGGTAAATTTCGTTTTTCGATACTTTTAATCCCGAATATCTCAAAAACCCAATTGCATAATTTAGAGATTAGAGGCTTAATCTACGGAAAAAATCTATTAGAATTCGCTCTAAAAAAAATCGGCCGCATAATTTTGTTGGCATTATATAAATACAAACGTATATACTTCTTACTAGAATACTCATATAAACATTTTTACTTACCATCAATCTATTATGCTACGTACTTTGCTTGAAGTTGTCGTAATTTTGTGAGTTAAATAAATTGATGGAAATGAGAATATGATGGAATAAATGTACTATGCACCGGGATGGAAATTGCTTAAATTTTGTTAGATTTTCAATTGATTTTTAATGCACCTGAAAAGTTCAAATAAAAAGTAACTAAAAATTTTGAAATAAATAAAACTTAAGCTTTTATACGCAACTAGTTCTTACCTGATATGGACGATAAAGTTGGCATGAACATTTACCCTTAATTGCATCCTATGTAGATTGAATAGAAAATTGACTTGAAGGTAATATGTGTAAGCCAGCATATTTTTTCACGCTTTTTCATGAGGAGAAAATTTGCGACTTTAGTGACGGTACTGATGTGTGTATGTATGAATATTAGTTGCAGGTCCAATGGGAGTGTGCATACAAGGGTGCTTATAATTTTCAGCAATGCGATAATTACGTACAAATGTAATAAAATTTGCTTAACCCGTACTTTTGCATATGTTTTTATGTATTTCCATGTTTATGTATGTACACATGTATGTATGTGGTTATAAAAGCATAAAAAAAAAAACATTGACAACAACCAAGCATTTTTGTTTCTGTTAGTTGCTTCCCTTAAACGCGAAATGTTCGAAAATCGAATGCGTGCTTCATTTTGACATTTTACTTTTATGTACAATTTTTTAGTTTAAGCGAACGCCCGTAACATTACATCTTTTCATTTGTTAAGTAAAAAATATATGAATTTGCTTTTTTTGTTTATTTTTCAGTAAAAATGTAAGTTCGTTATTATTATATATATATATATATATATATATATACTCATAATTCATAACTAAAGTAAGATTTTATAAAAAATATTTCAACAGAAAAACACGTGTTTTGAGCACTTTGGTACATACACATATTATCTAATATCAGCAGCATAAATCAATACAATAATATAATATTTATATGTACTATGCCACGTATGAACATCTACATTTACATATATGTATACCTAATTGCAGTTTTGTTTTTTTCGCTTTTTTACATCCTATGATTATATGCGCATGTGTATGTAAATTTTTAAATATATTATAAACATATGATTAAAATATTAAGCCTTCATTATACTTTAAATTTCATTTAAAAAATGTGGTGCATTATATGTGTGTATGTATACATTTTTTCGTATATTGTAAGTATATTCAATTTGTTACGCAGTGTTAAAATGTTCAAAAATGTTTACATAAATTACAGTTACTACATACATTTCATCGACATTGCACGTGCACGAATGCAAAAATATGGATTGCTTGTCTTTTATGTGTTTCGGTAAACAAAAAAGAAATGAGATAATTATAAATTTACAAAGCGCCTTTAAGTAATAAAAGTAATTTATTTTAAGTTGATATAGTAAGTATAATTAAAGAAATAAAATTAACTTGAACAACTAAGTTTTTAACAACAATTGATGTTTTATGTATTCTCACGATAGCCTTTAGAATCATTTTATTTATTATTAATTTTAAATGAAATGTTTGCAACTTTCTTTACGTGTACAAAATTTCTTTCAATATAGCATATATTTGAAAATATTTCTATGCGCACATTCAAGTTTAGTAACGTTAAGATTTTTCTTGTCGTTTGTTACAAACGGTGTATTCGTTATACGAATTACTTTTATAATTAAATTTTTATTGGATAGTCATAACAAAGAATAACTCTTTTAAGTCAGCAATTGAATCCAATCTAGCAATTAGTTAAATTAGAAGAGGCCTAGGTGGCGTAGGTAGGTAGTTAGAAAAAAATGTGCCGTATCTCTAAGCTTATAGCATTTTCCACGCGCAGGACACGCAGCAATTCGTAGTTCATTTGCATAGAACGGTAAATATTCTAAACTATGTTTATATATGTTATATGTATGTATATAAGTAAGTTATATGTATGTATATATAAACAGCAAATACCGTAATTCGTTATGTATTGTTGTATTGTATATAAATACCTACGGGCGTAAACGTAAAATACGCAGTCTGTTTTTTTTCTATCGTTTACTACCAAAAATTTCCCATTTTTATTAGATTTCTCTATCATATTATTTTTACGTTTGCACATTTTTCTACGCTCTCTCGTTAATTGGTTATTGCGTCGTCTTTGTTATTGTGTCCATTTTCAACGGTTTTAATATTATTGGCAAGATGCGATTGTTGTTGCGGCTGATTTTGTAGTTTGAGCTTTTGTTTTTGCTCCAAAAGTGACTTGTACGTGTAGAGCGACTGTAGTGGCACATGTAATAACTCAATGATTTGTGTAAAATGTATTTCTGCAATATAAGAGAAACAATTAAATATATATGAATGTATTTACACAGAAATTGGTTTCATTTAATTCAAGTATCTTAAACGTAACTTAGCTGAAACCCTAAATTCTTAAACAATAAATTTATAATCCTTTTGTTTACACTCACCATTTTCAGGCGTTATATAGCCATGTCTAATTAAAAAATCTATAACCACTGGGCAACTGGTTGTCTTAAAATCAGGCGTAAATACACGTTCCACACACTCTTTGGCTGGCAGCAATTCGAATGCTTGCACTTCACCATCAGCATTTTGTGGTACAAAATCCAATGGAAGCTCCAAGTCAAATACATATTCCGTATTTGGGAATAAACCTTGATCACTTTCGAAAAAGAATGATACACAACCGGCTGAAACGAGATTTTTGACGAGATCACTTGGAATGGATGCCTCTTCAGCTGCCTCTTTAATTGCTGTCTCTTTGATGCCATAGCCGACCGACAGACCGCCACCAACCATGTTATCCCACTTGCCGGGCCATGTTTCTTTGGTGTTGGAACGTTGTTGTAGCCAAATACAAAGACCCTGCGTTGGATGTTGTACATAGCCATTAATATCGACACCATATTTGCGTACACCAAATAATGGTGTGGCCGAACGATCCATTTTCAATAGACTTCGATATTCCGATTTAACTTCATAATACTGGAATCATAAGTAAAACATAAACATAATAAACATAACCACATTTGTAGTATGAAAGTATATACCTCATCACGCCAACCTTGGAGTGCAGAAAAAATGCCCTTAGAACGTAAATCACGTAATACTATATCGACTTGCTTTGTGCGTTCAGCATAGTCACGGAATGCAGGATTTAACTCAACGATACCCTAAGAGAAATTAATATAGAAGTTTAAAAACTGAAAGCATATTTTATTATATTTTAATCCGCTTTGTTTTACCTGTTTTGTGAATTCACAATTGCGTATACAAAATATTTCGGGATAGCGTTGAAGCTGCTTGACCACATCCGCCTTGATAAGGCCAACTTGTTCACCTTCAACTAGAAACGGACGTATCTCACCCTTTTGAAAACCTGTAAGAAAATAAAAAAGATAATAAACTTGTAAATAATCTTTAGAGCCGCACATTACTAAGAATATTTATGATTGAAGTTAAAATTCAAGTTATTGCCATTGGTGATCGATTATTGCATTTATTTCTAGATAAGCATGCTTATAAGTGTGCATGCTTGACTGTTTAGTGACGCTTAAAAAGTTAAATATTTGCTTAATGCCAGTTGTATTGAAAATATGTCGATATGTATGCGCTTTAAAAGTTTAACTTATTTAACTTTTAATACTCAAACTGACTTTAGAGGTTTAGCTTGTGGTGTTGAAAGACCTAAAGAATTCTGCTTTCAAAGGAGTAAAAATATTGAATTTAAATTTTTTTTAAATTCGAATATATCGACCCCTAATTGCGATTTTATCGTAAGCGACAATAGGTAAATTTTACAGGAGAGGTTTTTTCGTTAATTATCCCTTAAACAGTGTAAAAATTTATTTGGATGTAAATGGACAACAATATTACCGAATGCTAGCTTTCTACTAGGACTATTTAATTTTTGCATACTAGCTTATTTTCTAACGGTAAAACGACGCTTACGATATTATGCTGAGAGGAAACTTATCAAAGAATTGGCGCTTGCGATAGTTTTTATGTTGTATAATCTGGACATTTATAAGCGAAGGAGTGCGTTTACTTTAAGGATTGTTTGAAAAAAAAAATAATGAATTTAAGTCAATTAAATATAAGCACTGCGAATCAGCAGAATAAGCTCAACATATTTTTAACTTTAACTGTTCGGTGCATCTACTAGAGTGTCCACAAGTTTTCTTCGGGGATACATTCAATTCTCTAATAAACTAAAACGACCACATTGGCGCTACTATTTGGTATTTTTTTTTTAGTTTTTTTTTAAGAATGAGAAAAAAAGTAAAATTTAGTCCTTGACAAGAATAGATTCAGTATCAAAATCTTCATATTAAGGTGATTTTTGGCAAGTTTCCAAATTTTTTAATCAAGAGATTAAAATCAAAAGCTATGATATGAAGTGCAAAAGTTATAAGTAAAAGTGAAAAAATCAAAATCATATAATCAATTTGAAAACAGATTAACGGCAAAATGAAATAATTTCGAAGGTGTGGATCCATGAGGCCGTATAAGCTGGTGTTAAAAGGGCAATTTCGAATGCAGTTACATTTTTTTTCTATACCAGTGCATACAATAGGAATATAAGCCCCGTTAGGTGTCTGCTTTTGATCTTTCTGATATGCTTTTAAATTTTACAACCCATTGGCAAAGTAAGAGTTTCAAAAAATGACCCGCTAGACGAGCCACGCTGCACTTAGTGATTGCAGCTGCAATTGCATAATGGCAGATTGCACTTAATTTTGACGAGTGAAAGAAGCTGGACTCGAATCGTCACATACAATATCGTATTACTCGTCACGCAAAAACACCGTTTTCGGATTATGACATACATGAGCGTACTCTTTATCCCATTCAGCTTATACGACTGACGCTATCACGTAATTTTCTTTCGTATGGTTTTCGATCTGTGAACGGATGTTACGATTCGAGCCCTGATTTTGAAACATTTAGTTGTAGCAAGTGCCAATGCAACTTTGTTTAAAACTATAGTTCAAACTGCTATTTACAATAAAGCTCGGTACACACAGTGTCGCTTACGATAAAATTGTAGAACGGCAAAAGTGTAAACGATGCAAACGATAAAATACATCTTGCTTTTTTCCGTAACGGTACATATTCATACCTTGTGCTTTTCAGGACGTTGCAACTAGTATTTGTAACCTATTTGCAACAAAAAAATTGTTTTCGATAGTTTGTCGCTTACGATAAACTCGCAAATAATAAATTTAAAAGCTTAAAAAACTCCGTAATGAAAGAACCATAAAAATTAAGATGCTGTTATAAAAGTATGTAGGTATTAAAATTTTCCAAAGCATTTCTAGGGAATGCTGAAGTATCGCTTTTACGAAACAGGTATGATTCGGAGGCACAGTCTCTCCAACCAATAACAGCAGCCCCCTGTACTTCTTCTTGGGAGTACAGTTTCTCCGCAAGCCACCTCCGTATATTTCTGGTCCGTGTCGGCGGTAAAATAAA